CCCAAAAAAACAACCCACCAATCACACACACCCAACAACCCACAACAAACCACATACAATAACAAAATAATCAAACCAACACAAACCCAAACCAAAATAACAAACTTCCTCCCCATACACCCCCATACTAAACCATCCCAAAAAAACACCCCATTACTACAAAACCCCCCAACTTGTATAACACACTTCTTCACATAAAATACACCCAAACCAAAACCAAACCAAACCCCCCCACCAAAAAAAAACCCCAACCCCCACCACCCCCACAAACAAAAACCCCCACCCCCAAACACCAAACCAACAAATAACCAATATATACCCAAAACAACATACCACTAAAACCCCCTAACAAACCTATCCACCCCACCCCCCAATAAATAACCCCCTACTAAAACCAACCACAACCCCAAACAATAACAATACCAAATCTCTAACAAAACTCCATAACCCTCTCATAACCCTACCAAAACATCCCCATATTAATATACCACTTTTTACTCTCTACATTACTATATCATTCTCCTCATATTAAAAATTCTCCTCAAAATTCCCCATCTCATCCCTCCTAAAACACCCTTCCCCCCCCCCCCTCCCCCCTTATAACCAACCCCACCCCCCCCCTCCCCCCCCCATCAAACACCCCACCCAACCCACATCCCACCAACACAACCCCAAAACCCCAACCCAAATCCCCCCCCCAACTCCCAACCATGTATATGTCCTCACCACTATGTGAAAACACCCCCCCACCCCCAACCCCCCCCACCCCCCCCCCCACCCCCCCCCCCCCCCCCCCCCCCCAACCAAACACCCCCCACACCACCACTATACACCACTCTACCAAACCCCCCCCAACCCCCCCCCACACCAACCCCCCCCCCCCCCCCCCACCAACTGTACAACCAAACCAACCCAAACCCCCCCACCCCACCCCACACACCCCCCCCCCACCAACCACCCCCCCCCCCCCCCCCCACAACACACACACACACACAAACACACACACACCCCACACACACACACACACACCCCCAAACACACACACAACCACCACAAACAAAACAAAACCCCCCCACCCCCCCAACCACAACACCCCCCCCCAACACAACCCCCCCCCACCCACCCCCACCCCCCCCACCCAACCCCCCCCCAACCCCCCCCACCACCCCACCCAACCCCCCCACCCCCCACCCCCCACACCCCCACCCACCCACCCCCCCCCCCCCCCCACACCCACACCCCCCCCCCCCCCCCACCCACAACCCCCCCCCCCCCCCAACCCCCCCCCACCCCCCCCACCCCCACCACCCCCCCCCACCCACACCCCCCCCCCCCCCCCCACCCCCCCCCCACCCCCCCCCCCCCCCCCCCCAACCCAACCACCCAACAACCAACCCCCCACACCACCCCAAAAACAACACCAACCCCCCCCCCCCCCCCCCCCCACCCCCACCCCCCCCAACCCCCCCCCCCCCCACCCCCCCAACAAACCCCCACCACCCACCAACCCCCCCAACCCACTCACCACAAACCAAACCACAAAACCCCCCACCCACCCACCCCACCCCCCCCCACCAACCACCCCCCCAACCCCCCCCCCAACCCCCCCCCACCCCAAACACCATACCACAACATACCCAACCCCCCCTCCCCACCACTCCACCCACCCTCTCTCCCCAAAACCATACATAAACCAAAAAAAAAAAAACCAAAATAAACCTAACACTAAATCCCTAACATACCCATCCCAAACCCCACCACAAACACAACCCACACCCCAACCCAACCCCACAACCAAATCACCCCTCTCAAAACATCTACCCACTAATTCCCTACCATACCTACAACCCCTACAAACAACATAATACCCTACCCCAAACCCCCACTACCAAAAAATCCTCAATACCAATCAACTCCCAACCACCCCCCATCCCCACACCCCCCAACCCCAACCCCCCCCATTACACTCACTCCCACAACAAATCCACCCCACCAATAATTTCATAAAAACTACCTAGTCAAATCATCCAACCAAACAATATAATATCCCCCCCCCCCCCCACCCACCACTAACACCTAATCCCATAAATCCAATAAAAACATCCTCACACCCCATCAAAAAAATACCGAACACCCCACACCCATACAAAAAATTTCACCACCCACCACTCACCCTCAACAACCTCATCCCCCCAAACACTCACACACCCCCACTCTCACAAACCAATACCCCCAATTCCACCAACAACACCCACCTTTATATCCCCATTCCCTTCTCCATATCCCCCATTCCATATTTTAATCAACCCCATAACTCAATATCCTCCCAAACTAAAAAAACTATCACTATCTATTAATCCTTACTACTATCATCCCTAAAAATCTACACCCAAAATAATAAAACAAAACACTATCCCCCCCCCCCTACCCACCCAATCCTATCCCCCTATACCATTCTAATTACCATTACACATATTAATACTCAAAAAAAAACGATATTACAATACACTTAAATTCCCATCTCTTAAAAACCAAAAAACCACCACCAACACCCAAACATTACTTCCCATTCATAAATTTCCCCAATAATAATCTAATAACACTTAATTCCTAATTATATCATTTACTTTCTTCTTTAACTTCACTTGACTTTAATTCTTCTACCCCCATTTTTCCTGAATTATTAAAACTAGCAGATAACTGTACCCTACCCCGCCCCTGCATCTTTTTATGCATTATTCCATGCCCCAGCGCCCCCCCCGAAATACGCCTGGCAGAATTCACATAGATTTGTATAGCAGATGAACCCCGACCAGGCAATAGTACAAGCGAAAGATGGCGGGACTACAGGACCTCCAGTGCGAGAGTGGTAACTATGAGAAGAAAGCAGGTTGGCAGTATACTCATGAACAGGGACATTTTCATATGACTACTAACTGTTTGAGATGGTAGTGGTGGGGTTATGGGATAGGACATCCAACTTTGTTCCTGCTCTAAAACCAGTTTGGTTCTATGGACTAGTTTTCACATATATTTTTGGGTCTCCTGTCAATTTAGGTCAAAGGTTTCAGTGAAATTACCTTGCTCTCTGTATGGCAAAAGAAAAATGTTTAATGTGTTTTAATTAAAACATATCTTCCTTTTCCCTCCTCTCACGTGATGTTTGTTCGAGAGAGTGTTTCATTTTATAAAACATTAAACATTTGCGCCTTTTCTGCATACAGAGTGCAGGTTTAACTTCACTGAAAAAATTGTGACCTAAAGATTGACAGAGACCAAAATAATATAGGTGAAAAATAGTCATAGAACAAACTGTTTTTAGAGCCAGGAACAAGTTGGATTCGTCTATCCATAACTATACCATACAAACAGTATTAGTCCAGATGGAAAATGTCCTCTGTCTTGTGGTTTACTGCACATGCTTTATTCACCAGTCGTTTCCACTTGCTCAGCTGACAGTCTGTAGTCCGCATCTTTCGTGGTATCCTGGTCGGCTCTGCTTCCCACTCTATGACGTATGCCAGGACGTCTCCATCATACTACGGCCTCATCCATGCCACGGTCTACATTGTCTACATAGTATCAAAACAGCACCAGTGGGGGGTTCAACGCATTAAAGACAGCCTTAACGCTCACAACAATTATATCAAACGACAAAAAATATATCTACAGCAATTATGGTCACTTTCTGACTGCCATCTGTATGGTGTGTAGGTGAATTTTTGAAATTCGCTCAGGGCCTTCATGTTGTCCACAACTTTTATAATATTCTTCAACAGAGTCCGTAAACTTCTCCTGTCACGGTATCGCATTTGACGGGTGTCACTAGAAAAGAATCAACAATTTTTTCTCAATTACGTTCATCACTACTACCCGGGCAACAACTCAATAGCACGAAAAAAAAACTATATTTAGCACTTTCTTAAAACTGTTTTCACCATTTCCTGTTTGCACTTTTCCTGTCTTTTGCACACCTGAGTGATAATATTTATGACCAATGTGACAATGCTAAATAGCTCTATTGTGAGATCTATAAAGTCTCATCTTCATAAACGTTCCTGTGTGATAGCCAAAAAATAACTTGGATATTTTAGTGATTACAAAACAAACTCATGCGGCCATACTCTTACAAAAACAATGCAAACATTACAACTTTAGAACCTATTATGGTAGTTATTGCCACATACACAAATAAATTATCATCCAAGCAAATACTTTGAGTGACAAAACATTGGCACAATATTTTTTACTTCAAATAAGTTGTTCTATCTATGATGCCATTTTTGTAATTGTAGAGTGTAATATTTGCATTTTGATTAATTGCGCATCCTCTTTACAATCGTCAAAAATGCCTGAGGACGGTACTAACAGAATAAATCCTTTGCTATTACTTACTTGACTGCTCGCTGTACTCTAAAAATCCTCTGATGACAAAGCACTAGGTGGGACATTTTATGTCCTCGATCTCAATCATATTTTTCATGGCCGTTCTCTGTCCTTTAACTATAACCAAACCTAAAGCACAAAACCATGAAACAGACATCCCAAACAGGCCCGATCATCGCAAGGTTCTAAATGCGAACCTTCTCACTGAGGTATCCTGTGTGGTTATTGTGTTGGCCTATGAGGTGCTGGTCGTAGAGTTGGACTACAAACGCGACGCCAAGCACTGTGCTCGCGGTCCCTGAACCAAGGCGAGACCTTCGTGCAGAGGAGGCACAAGCATATAGTGGAAAAAAATAGGAATAGAATTTGAGAAATAGGGATAGTTAGGGCAGAAGTGATAGATAATAAAAACTCCATTCCCGGGGTGGCGGGAAAAAAAAAAAAAAAGGGTACATTTAAACAGAAGAAAAAGCCAAGTAATTAAAATGTGGATTCTGCTAATAATGATCTGATTAATGAGGAAAAAGCAGAGCCTCTTGGCTGTAGTATACGGTTTCATGTGAAAGAACATGATAAGTTATGGAAGTTTTTCTCTTATATTCTGCAGTAATTTTTCACCCCCTCCCAACCCCCCCCCCCCCCCCCCACACACACCAAAAACCCCCCCCCCCCCCCACCCACAAACCCACCCACCCACCCACACCCACACCAACCCCCCAACCCACACCACCCACCACACACCCCCCCCCACCCCACACCCCCCCCACCCCACACCCCACAACCCAAACCCCCAAACCAAACAACCCACACCAAACCACACCCCCCCACCCCCCCCCCCCCCCCCCCCCCACCCCCACCCCCCCCACCCCCACCCCCCCCAAACAACCCCCCCACACCACCCACCCACCCCCACCACCCCCACCCCCCCCACCCCACACCCAACCCACCAAACCCCAACCCCCAACCAAAACAAACAACCCCACCCACAAACCACCCCACCCCCCCACACCCCCCCCCAAACCCCCACCCACCTACCCCCCAGCCCTAAACTTGGCTCTGAGAAGGGGAAAGGAAATGCAACATACACAACCAGATGTAATTGGCGAAAGTAAATGGCCTTTTATTTCTAGGCAGAAAAGGTAACGTCCTGGACAAAACTTAGAGTCAGTAAACTAAACAAAAGGGGTTCCTTCGACAGGTAACAAGTCACAATTCTAATAAGGTCTCGTAAGGTCTCGTAAGGTTTCTCAAAGGTGTCAGCTCTCCACCACACGTCTGTCTCTCAAGGCTGGCGCACTTGTGTTGGAAACAAGCCGCCCCGTCTGGACGTCACACCGCTGTTTTATTGGCCGCGGGCAGGTCAGCTGGTGGCGCAGATTGGTTCGGGCGGAGCTCCTATTGGCCATACAGGAGGACTTCGGGCGAATGGCAGCATCCGGGAGGCGGGCCCTAGACTTCGCGGGAACGAGCCGGACACACAGACAGAGAGAGACGCACCGGGAGAGGGAGGGGGTGCTTGCGCAAAACGGCCCAGACCTGGAGCCGTAACACCCCACCCCTCAAGACACTGTCCACCCTAACATTATTTCTTTGAACAAAAACAAACATCAGAACACACACAAGTTATGCAGCCATCACCTTATCTGGACAAGGCATCGGCAAACACGTTCTCTGATCCCTTCTTATGTCGAATCTCTAACGGAAAATCCTGCACCATCAAGGCCCACCGCATCAGCCTCTGGTTGTGATTATACATGCGGGACAAAAAGGTTACAGGGTTATGGTCGGTAAACACAACGATTGGCACAGAACTGGACCCAAGGTACACTTCGAAGTGCTGGAGAGCGAGCAACAGTGACAAAGTCTCTTTTTCTATGGTGGAGTAGCGGAGCTGGTGTGTATTAAACTTTCGGGAGAAGTAACCTACCGGATGGGTAACCCCACTCGCATCCTCCTGCATCAGGACTGCACCTGCTCCGACCCCACTAGCGTCCACTTCAAGCTTGTAGGGGCGCAACGGGTCAGGAGCAGCGAGGACAGGTGCATGACACAGCAGAGACTTCACGCTGTCAAAAGCGGATTGACACTCAGTATTCCATTTAAAATCAACTTTAGGACTCAATAAGGTGGTCAGTGGGACAACCACTGATGAGAAATTTCGGCAGAAACTTCGGTAGTACCCAGCCATGCCCAGGAAGCGGCGCAGCTCACGCCGAGTGGTGGGAGGCGGATAGGCGTCTATCGCGGAAACTTTAGCCTCAATAGGTCGGACTTGGCCCTGGCCAACCTCACGTCCCAAATATGTAACGTGAGCCTTCCCGAACTCACATTTAGCGAGGTTTAGGGTGAGTGAGGCAGCTGCCAATCTGGAAAACACCTGCTGTAGGACGTGTACGTGTTCCTTCCAGGTAACGGAGTGGATCAGTAAGTCGTCCAGATAAGCATTACAACTGGGCAGGCCCTGTAGAACGACATTAATCAGGCGTTGAAAAGTTGCGGGAGCGTTGCACATTCCAAACGCCATCACGGTATATTGCAGGAAGTAATCAGGCGTTACAAACGCCGATATTTCCGACGCGCGCTTAGTCAGCGGGACTTGCCAGTAACCTTTCAACAAATCCAATTTAGTGACGTATTTAGCAGGACCGAGGTTGTCCACACAATCCTCCATGCGGGGCATGGGATATGAGTCAGGGACAGTGACAGCGTTAACTTTACGGAAATTCGTGATGAAGCGAGGCGAGCCATCAGGTTTTTCCTCCACCAAACAGGGTGAACTCCAAGCGCTAGTGCTATGTTTAGCCAGACCATTGGCCAATAAATACTCAGCCTCCTGCTTCATCAGCGCGCGTTTTGTGGGGTTCACCCGATACGGATGCTGGCGAATGGGACGCGCGTCCTTCACGTCTACGTCATGTGCCAATACATTGGTGCAACTTGGTACGTCCCCAAACAGACATCTGAATCGTCCCACAACAGCCAGAACGTCAGCCTGCTGATCAGCGCTCAAATGCTTCAGTTGGGCAGGTAAAACCGTGAGCATTTCAGAGTTCGGGAGACGCGGACTATGCTCCTTACGCATCTTCAGTCCGCTCTCAGCGGCCTGGTCAGCCACAATCAGAGTGGAGACACACTGAAGGGAGGGCTCCGTCGTGGTCGGTGTAACGCGGGAGTGATACTGCTTCAACATATTAATGTGGCACACGCGGGTTTTTCGCCTCCTGTCCGGCGTGCTGATAATATAGTCAGTATCAGACAGTTTCTCCTTAACCACATAAGGACCGGTATATTTAGCAGAGAGCGTATCCCCCTGCACGGGTATCAAAACGAGCACCTCATCTCCCGCTTTGAATGAGCGAGCCAGCGTCCTCTTATCAAACTGACGCTTCATTTTTGCCTGTGCAGTCTGTAGGGCAGCCCTAGCGAGTAAATTTGCTTTCAGTACGCGCTCACGGAATGTGCTTACGAAATCTAAAACATTGGCTGCGGTGGGTGAAGAAAGAAAAGCTTCCTTCAGCGCTTTGACCGGGCCCCGGGGAGTGTGGGCAAATATCAACTCAGCGGGGCTGAACCCCAAAGACTCCTGAGTCGCATCCCGGGCTGCAAACAGCACGAACGGGATCCCTTGATCCCAATTTCTTTCAGTTTCCATACAGTACTTGCGCAGCATGGATTTAAGCGTCTGGTGCCAACGCTCCAGAGCACCCTGTGACTCAGGGTGATACGCGCTGGACAGAACATGTTTTACCCCAAGTGTTTGAACCACTTGTGCAAACAGGTTAGACTTGAAATTCGCTCCCTGGTCTGTCTGTATAAATTTTGGGAGTCCAAATACTGAAAAGAATTTCCACAACGCCTTGACTACGGATTGCGATGTGATTTTACGCATCGGGATGGCCTCTGGGAAACGCGTGGCAGCACACATTATAGTAAGTAGAAATACATTACCATTCTGTGTGCGGGGCAGAGGCCCTACACAGTCAACTATGACGCGGTCAAAAGGCTGATCAATAACAGGTATGGGATGTAAAGGAGCTGCTAGGATTGGCTGGTTGGGCTTTCCCACCATCTGACACACGTGACAGCTGCGGCAAAACTCGGCCACGTCCTTTTTCATCCCAGGCCACACAAACTGTCTTAACAGCGATTTGTAAGTTTTTGTAACGCCTAGGTGCCCCGACCACAAGCTTTCATGTGCCACTGCTGTAATCTGATTACGGTAGCAGGAGGGCACAACTATTTGGTAGACCGCAAACACATTGTCATGGGTGACGTGGGGAGACCATTTACGCATTAACACACCCTCGCGCAAGAAGTAACAGATCTGAGCTTTGTCACATTGTTCGCTACTCACCACACTGGAAACCAAGTTGTGTAACGTTGGGTCAGATCTCTGCTCCGCAATGAGCCGCCCACGTGAACAAGGCAGAGCTGGGTTGTCAATTTTTGGAGACGCGGCTTACCGCGGAGTCGAGCTTTGGGAAGCCTGGGTCTCAGCTGTAGGCACAAAATCTGCTGAAATGTCAGATAAAAATGTGTCAGACAAACTAACATCATCTCCGAGATTACAGCGGGCTTGGGCACGCGTAACCGCGCACGCAGGATAAATCTCAGTAGAGCAAATATCCATACTGTCCAGCGGGGAATCAGCCACTTCCAAGGGTGGAGTTACCAGGCCCCCGGCCACATCATTTCCCATCAACATGTGAATCCCTGGAATTGGCAACGCGTTGCAAACAGCAACGGGAAAGGTCCCATTTACGAGTTTGGACTCGATGTGCACCAAATGTACTGGCTGCGGGCAGTAACCCATTTCTATTCCCCGTAGCACAGTTTTGTACGCGCACGAGGACTGCTCAGAAAAGGGGAGAGCACTGGCTAAGATTAACGTCTGAGACCCGCCAGTGTCTCTCAAAATGCGGATGGGTCTTTGGTCAGGTGCGTTGCCAGGCAGAGAAACTATTCCCTCAAAGATGAATGGGTCAAAACACGAATCTGGGTCTTGGCAGGTGCTAGGAGCTAGGCTAACCTCAGTTTTGATTAGCCCAAGACCTTTAGGTTTTGGAGAGCCTGGTCTGCGTCTGAGTACAGGACACGTGGCAACAAGATGCCCAGCAGTGCGGCAGTAGTAGCATTCCCTTTCGTCCGGGCCCGTCCTGTCAGTCCTCGGAGAAGTAGGCCTAGGAGCAGGTGCGCGAGGCCTGTCAGGCCCTCCGCCAAATACGGATTTGTGAGTCAGCACAAATTCGTCAGCTAAAACAGCAGCATCCAAAATGGTCTTCACCTTCTGCTCATTTAGATACACCACAACACGGTCCGGGAGGCTTCTCTTAAAATCCTCCAGCAACATAAGGTCACGTAACGAAGCAAAACTCTGAGCTTTAGCAGACGAACACCACTTGTCAAATAACATTCCTTTCTCCCTCGCAAACTCAATGTAGGTATGGCTTTGGGCCCTTTTATGGCTTCGGAACCTTTGCCTGTAGGCCTCAGGGACCAGCTCATATGCCCTTAGTATGGCGCTCTTGACTGCTTCGTACCGCAGACTGTCAGCAAGAGGCATGGCTGCAATGATTTCTTGGGCTTTCCCGTACATTTTACATTGGAGCAAAAGAGGCCAAATATCGCGTGGCCAGTTTAAGGTCGAGGCGATGCGCTCGAATGCAGCAAAATATGAATCCACTTCTCCCTCTCTGAAGGGGGGTACAAGGGGAATAAATTTACTTACATCGAGGGTGCCGCCGTGAACGGATGGGGAGTGGGCTGCATGCGCGGTGGGTCCAGGGCCGGGAGTAGGACTGGGAGGGAGGCGACCTTCAGCCTCCAGCTCAAGGCGGAGCAGTTTGACGTCTTTGTCAGCCTCTATCTCGAGCTTGCGCACCTGAAATTCGAGCTCGGCACTGCGGTCCCGTTCCTTCTGCTCAGCTTCCATTTTAATGCGGGCCAGGCGCACAGCGCGTCGGGCAGCATCCAAGGACCGAGGAGAGGTGGGAGGAGAGTGTGGGTCATACCGGGGGAGGGTGAACAGAGGGTTAGGCGGTTCATCGACCCCCGCGCCCGCTCTCTTTGTCCCAGGGGGAGAACCATCTGAAGGTCCAGGTTTCTCCTCCCGCTTTGGGGTTCCCGCAGGCACGATACTCTCATCAGTCCCCTCAGAAGCCACTGGTTGCGAGAGCAGGCCCAACTCCACCAAGCCATCCACAAGCAGCGCCCGGATCTCGTCCTTTCTGCTCTGTTTGGAATATAAAATATTAAAATGCACAGCAAGTGCTATGAGGTCTTTCTTTTTGCATTTGTTCAACTCCTCAAGGGAAGGCTCTTCCACGAAGGCCTCGAAGTCAAACACCATTTTGAAAATGCCCAAATACAATTCACCTTCACCTACCCAAAGTAAATGTCCATTCACTGTTGTCGGGAATGTTTTAAAACAGGATCCCGGACGAGCCCCCAATATATGTTACAGCCCTAAACTTGGCTCTGAGAAGGGGAAAGGAAATGCAACATACACAACCAGATGTAATTGGCGAAAGTAAATGGCCTTTTATTTCTAGGCAGAAAAGGTAACGTCCTGGACAAAACTTAGAGTCAGTAAACTAAACAAAAGGGGTTCCTTCGACAGGTAACAAGTCACAATTCTAATAAGGTCTCGTAAGGTCTCGTAAGGTTTCTCAAAGGTGTCAGCTCTCCACCACACGTCTGTCTCTCAAGGCTGGCGCACTTGTGTTGGAAACAAGCCGCCCCGTCTGGACGTCACACCGCTGTTTTATTGGCCGCGGGCAGGTCAGCTGGTGGCGCAGATTGGTTCGGGCGGAGCTCCTATTGGCCATACAGGAGGACTCCGGGCGAATGGCAGCATCCGGGAGGCGGGCCCTAGACTTCGCGGGAACGAGCCGGACACACAGACAAGAGAGACGCACCGGGAGAGGGAGGGGGTGCTTGCGCAAAACGGCCCAGACCTGGAGCCGTAACAAGCATGTGGCAGAGTATGCACGTGTGTGTTGCATGTGTGTGGGATTGTGAGTGTGTGAGAGAGAGTATGTGTGTGAGCATGTGGCAGAGTGTGCGTGTTTGTGCGTGTGCATATGTATACGTGTGTGAGAGAGAATGTGTGTGTATGTGTGCGAGTGTGTGTGTGTGAGCATGTGGCAGAGTGTGTACGCGGTGTGTTTGTGCGTGTGCATATGTATTCGTGTGTGAGAGAGAATGTGTGTGTGTGTGTGCGAGTGTGTGTGTGTGTGAAAGAGAGAGAGTGTGTTAGCGCATGTGTGTGCTTGAGGTTGCGCATGCTTGTGTGTGTGCAAAAATGTGTGATTAGGTGTGTCTATGAGCTTGCATTTGTGTGTGTGTGTGCTTGTGGTAAATACTATTTTATGTGTGTGCAGGTGTGTCTATGAGCGTGCATTTGTGTGATTGTGTGCATGTGTGTGTGTGTGTGTACATGTGTGTGTGCTCCTGTGCTTGTGTGTGCGTGTGCATGTGTGTGTGGGTGTGTGCCTGTGCTTGTGTGTGTGAATGTGTGTGTGTGTGCGGGGGGGCATGTGTGTGTGCGCCTGTGCTTGTGTGTGCATGTGTGTGTACATGTGTGTGTGTGTGCCTGTGCTTGTGTGTGCGTGTGCATGTGTGTGTGTGCCTGTGCATGTGTGTGCGTGTGTGATTGCATGTGTGTGTACATGTGTGTGCGTGTGCATGTGTGTGTGCGTGTGCTTGTGTGTGCGTGTGCATGTGTGTGTACATGTGTGTGTGTGCCTGTGCTTGTGTGTGCGTGTGCATGTGTGTGCCTGTGTGCGTGTGTGATTGCATGTGTGTGTACATGTGTGTGTGTGATTGTGCTTGTGTGTGCGTGTGCATGTGTGTGCCTGTGCTTGTGTGTGCGTGTGCCTGTGTGCGTGTGTCATTGCATGTGTGTGTACATGTGTGTGTGTGCATGTGTGTGCGTGTGCATGTGTGTGCCTGTGCTTGTGTGTGCCTGTGTGCGTGTGTCATTGCATGTGTGTGTACATGTGTGTGTGTGATTGTGCTTGTGTGTGCGTGTGCATGTGTGTGTGCATGCGGGGGTACATGTGTGTGTGTGCCTGTGCTTGTGTGTGAGTGTGCATGTGTGTGTACATGTGTGTGTGTGCCTGTGCTTGTGTGTGCGTGTGCATGTGTGTGCCTGTGTGCGTGTGTGATTGCATGTGTGTGTACATGTGTGTGTACATGTGTGTGTGTGCGTGTGCATCTGTGTGTACATGTGTGTGTGTGCCTGTGCTTGTGTGTGCGTGTGCATGTGTGTGCCTGTGTGCGTGTGTGATTGCATGTGTGTGTACATGTGTGTGTGTGATTGTGCTTGTGTGTGCGTGTGCATGTGTGTGTACATGTGTGTGTGTGCCTGTGCTTGTGTGTGCGTGTGCATCTGTGTGTACATGTGTGTGTGTGCCTGTGCTTGTGTGTGCGTGTGCATCTGTGTGTACATGTGTGTGTGTGCCTGTGCTTGTGTGTGCGTGTGCATGTGTGTGCCTGTGTGCGTGTGTGATTGCATGTGTGTGTACATGTGTGTGTGATTGTGCTTGTGTGTGCATGTGTGTGTGCATGTGTGTGTACATGTGTGTGCGTGTGCATGTGTGTGTACATGTGTGTGCGTGTGCATGTGTGTGTGTGCCTGTGCATGTGCGTGTGCATGTGTGTGTGATTGTGCTTGTGTGTGCGTGTGCATGTGTGTGTGCATGTGTGTGTGTGAAATAAGCGGGAAGAGGCGGAGTGGAGGTCTAATCCTTGAGATGAAATTGAAACCCTTCTCGGTCCAGGAAACACTAGTCCAGCAGTGTATGAAACGCTAGCTTGGATTTGTCCACATTGATCAGAAGGTATTAACTCTATAACAGTGATTAAGGGTCGGAGCCTAACGCAGATTGAATAACCATAAAAAAGTCAATAGCGCAAATATTGGTTCTGCGGCGACTGTAACCATGATTGAGAGGCCTCGGTAATGGCTGAGGATTTGTATCAAGTCCATTATAGAAATGAGAAAAGCTGTCATTTAGGGATGAATCCGTTTACACACAAAACTGAGAAGACCCAGACCACTCAGAAACGTCACTTTGTGTTAGTGCTGTGGACACGGAGCTGGCCTCTAAATGTCAGAGCGGCCGAGCTGTGAGCCTGTTCAAAGAGACCATGGCATTGTTGGCGATAAATGTTAACACATGCGGCGGTTTGGGGCATTATTACCCAGTGTCACGGTGCTGACAATAGTGACCCTTCTCGACCCGGCCGTTTATTATTGAGTAAGGTTGAGTTTGGGCACAAAGGAAGAGCGCCATTTATGTACTTACCCTAATGAGACCTCGGTGCCTGCGGAGCTCTTCTGTGTCACTTGATTGAACGGGCACAAGGTGTAGGTGTATCTGTAGAGAGGACAAGGAAAAGGAAGCACAATGAACCCACGTTAGAGCAGGCTTGTCAAACTCAGAGGTCCCTAAAATGATTTTTTATTAGTATTCTTAACTTCTATTTCTATTTTATCAACTTCGTTTTGTTGCTTATTATAGTCATTATGATCTTTATTGACCTTGAAGAGTGATGTTGCTTTAAACAGTTGCCATTATTTGTCGTTAATATTGCTGTTATCGTCTGTTCTTTCTTGTTTATTTTTTTACATTTGCATAGTTGCTGTTCTATGTAAAGTGTGTATATTTTCATGTAGTGTTTTGGGGGTGGGCACCAATAAGCTTTTGCTTCGGCCCACTCCTTTTGAGCAATACTTGTCTGCTCAAATAAACAAATAAATAAAAAATACAAAATTCTTAACTTGCAGCATTTATGGTTATGGGCGACCAAGGCATGTATCTCATTAGTGTTGGGTTATGTGTGTAGTGAAATACTGTATAGAACAATGTGTATACCTTTATATCTGGTACATTTTTGGTTGAATCTAAACAATAATGAAAAATTTTAAAAAAATCTGAATAATCCGCCAGAAAACAATCATGCAAGTCATGCCAAAATACCATCCATCTTTTTCCCCTTAATCCATTTCTGGGTCAGGGGGGTGGCAGTCCCAGTACACAGAGCACCAGCCCCTCACTGATCCTCCTGCAGATCTTTCAGCGGGGGCTTCAGGCAAAGTGGGGTTGAGTGTCTTGCTCAAGGACACAACGACAGCAGTCATCAGTGGGAGACATGAAGTAGGTCTCATGGCGGGCTTGAACCCACGACCTTCAGGTTCAAAGGCTGTACCAACTGAGCCACTGTCGCCCCCTGCCAAAATACCTCCATAATAAACATAAAAAAACAGTTGTAAGGAAAGGAAATCCTAGTCCCTATTGTTTTTATTGGGCCCTGATCAAAATGGGTTCGACACCCCAACGTTAGAGGGACGTGTACATCTCTCACAGGCTGCGTTTACAAAGAAAGATCAATGTCAGGCAGATGGAGGTGATTGTAGAACCTAAAACTGTTTTCTTTAGCATCAAACTTGACAAAAAAAATCACACGTCGCATTTTAGAAGAAATGTATTTTTTTCTTTTCCATGATGTAAGACACTAATAACAAGAATCATTTGTTTTTAACCCGTATTTTGTTTTATTATAGGCCTTTACCAAATGGTTGAGATTCAGTTCGATGATAAAAGTGTCTAAAACAAAGTGAGATGACCCAAAGGGGTAGATTTCAGTTCCAAGCTTCAAGTAGATATAGTTAGTTAGTTAGTTTATTTTATTCGGTCAGGCATCGAAAACAAAGTTGTACAAGGATAGTTTCCACAGGAACACAAAATATTCCAAAAAAAGAATGTACCGTACAAACTGATACTTTACTTTACTTTACACTGACCGAAAAGGCATCGGCTGAAGCATAAGCTTATAATGCCTGCCTTTACAACACAACATGTGCCTTTGTGTTTTTCCTCATTGGAAATACAAAAAGAAAGTAAAAAAGAAAAATAAAAAAACATCAGGCCGTTTATCCATTAAGGAGATACATATATATATATATCTCCACTATATATATAGATATAGTGACTCAAAAGGTGATTTACCAAACTGTTGAGGAAACCGTTTGGTAAAAGGGTTAATGATCATGACAATAAGTGAAGATTATTGACACAAGTGAAACAGGTTCACACGGTCCAATCAGTTTTCTGCGACTTTGTGAGCGGCCGATTTTACAGGTTTGACTAGAAATGAATGTGACAATGCGACAAAGTTAGTCAAAAAAGATGAGATATAGAATTTCTATATCAATCACGTTGAAGAAAATGACAAATTATGCAGAGGTCTGTGATCGTGTCTCAGCAGAAGAAATGTTTTATTGTTGGAACAATAAAACATCGTCGCCAGTTGATACGTTGGCTTTGACCTTCAGAACGAAACAGTGGAAAAGTACTGACTTCTGCATACTGTTGTAATGGCAAGATCAGTTTTAACAGAATTGCACACAAAAAATCCTATAAAAGGTCCATCTACAGCAATCCAAATTCCGTCCATGCCAAGAGGACAATGTTGTTGTCCGTTTCTCAGCAGCTTACATGGTTGTCCAGATTGTCCAAGTGCGCTGGTCCAGATGCATGATTCTCTATTGAAGTTTTTTGGTTGACATTATCGTTCTGTACTGTAGAGCAGGGGTCTCCAACCTGTAGCTCGGGAGACACCAGTAGCTCCCCACCCCCTTCCTGGTAGCTCGCCAAAGGATTTAGAAATGAACAAATCAAATAATATGCTTAATTTTTGAGATTGTATTAATCCATATCATCTTTATTATTGTAAATGCACTTACTTTGTGCACTAATAAACAAATAAATAACAACTGTACCCAATACCAGGCTCATGCACACCAGTATATCACCAAACTTTAGCCTGGGCTGCTAAAAGGAGTAGCTCTCTGCCTTTATCGTCCCGGGAAAGTAGCTCTCTGTGTGGAAAAGGTTGGAGACAGGTTGGTAGAGGTTTAGCTGCTCAGACATACCTGCATCCTCCACTAACTGAAGACGATGCCGAAGGAGGCGGCGGTTTGGGATCTTGTTAGTGTTGGTAAACAGCGTTCACATGGTTTTATACTTTTATATATTGCTCAATTAGATAATGCAACCTATGAGCTTTATTCAAATATTATTTTCTGAAAGTCTTTTTCACACCTCAATAAAGAAGCATGGATTATCACATTCACATTCCGTCAGATGTACATCATTCGCGTTGACCTTTACTGAGTCATTTGTCCATACATTTTATTCCTGACCTCACATCTCCAGCAGGCTAATTGAAAATAGATAGTAGCATGTTTCATTAAAAGGGTCCGTGTCTTGCGCCATCTCTCCACAATATTTCACATGATTACCAACACAGAAACTCCTCTAATGGGTGCTCCCGACTTAAACTTTCTCAGCCAAGAGATTTACCCAAAAGCTACCAATATTCTCACTCTCCTCCGCTGCCAATCAAACGATTCGTCCTGAGACTATAGCAATTAGCAGCCAGCATCTTTTTGTACAATATTACCCGAAAGAGCGCGTGCTAACACTAGAGCGCGGGCGAAACAGACTGATCAAAGCGGCTGACGCGGGCTCTGACAAGGGGAGAGGCGGCCGAGCGCTTTTTCCTTGACATTTGAACCATTACAATGACTGCGCTGAGAGATCGAGGGATGCTTCAATGAGATTTGGAGAAAGAGATGAAGAAGTGCACGGGCTGGAGAGAGAGCGGCGGGCGAAAGGATACAAATGGTGTAAGTGTAGACGAAGGCTGGCAGGGGCGCGGGAGAGAGGGAGGATCAAAAGAGGAGAGACGGCGGAGATGAAAGACAAGAAAATGGTGAACATGAGAGACAGTGGGGCGGTAAGAGATTGGCTGAGGCGTGCGCTCACAGGTTGTTTGTGGATCGCATTAAGCGCTTTAAGGCTTCCTCTCTTTCATGTCGACTGCATTTTGATGGGGATGCCCTATTAAAAACAAACCTTTCCTGACTGCAGTGTAAGCAGGGCTTCAAGGAGACTTTAGTATTGTAACCTACTTTAACAGAACTCATAAGGAGACGCATTCGATTATGTAATTCAAAGAGTGGCCTCTAGAGACGAGCTCCCAGTTATCCCTCCTTAATCACGTTATAAGCCGTGAATAAATCAAGTCAATTGTGGTAACTGTAACTTTGGAAGCTAATAGGGTTGATAACTATTTGAACTAATTAAGTTTGCAATAATAAGGCGCTAATAAAAAGGTTGATGATAAGGTGAGACTCATTAATTCATGTTTATTTCTAAATCTGGTCATCAACATAGACTGTATATAGATGGACAATGCTGACCCCCAAGCTCAATGAACCCTAATAGGGAAGTGCTCATGGGCCAAGTTTTGCTCAAACTCACTTTGGCTCCAATTTACTTACATTTTAATAGTAAACTCTTCTAGCTCAGTAACTATTTTGGGTTAAAACAATCGATGGTTTAGCGCTCTCTTTGATCCTGGTTTATATTGAGATATTGTCTTTGTAAATCCAGATATGAGCCTGAACTTCTGACCAATCAGGAGCCTACTGTTGTGTTAGACTCAACACTAGCAGCGACAGACAGGCCTGATTGGCGCATGGTAACTTGGCCGTTTCTACCAACAATATTTGCATATATTTGGCTCCATATTCCCGCTCAAATATCCTGGTCCAGCTCTAGTCAGCTTCTTTCACATTAAGGCTAACACTATGGGTGACTACAGTCTATGTGTATTTTTGCCCCAAGTGAACCAGCATCGGTCCAGTTAAAGTGAACCAGACCAGCACTCTATCCACACCATCACACCAAGATGTAATTGACAAAAGCTATCTATCTAACTGTCTCAATCACTTTATTTACTATTATTGGCAAAATGAGAGGCAAGAAATGGCTAGAAATAGGTTTCATGAATGTATTTGTATTGTCTTGTCTACAAATTGGAAAAACACATGTAAATAGTATGAGCAACTTCTCATGTCGGAGGAGGGCTTCGTTCACACAGCTCTAAATATAGGTTCCATCTGTTGAGACGCAAACAAAAGCGTCTATTAGACACATTAACTGCCACACAAACATGTTAAAACAGTTACATCCACATCATTCTCATTTCAATTCAAACTAAATCAAGTTTAATTGACTTTTCACAGCTTTGTTGTTTTTTGACCGATCCGTGCTTATTTGAGTATTCTCTCCACTCCAGCTGCTCTGACCACTGCCACTACAACCATCTTTTTTATTCAAACATATGTTGATGACAAACTTGAAATCTTGTCTGTGCCAAGCATGCAATAGTGACCACATGTACAGTGTTGTTTCCATAGACTGTAAATATTAACGGACGTGGTGACACCTATTTCCAAAATGGCCGTGAGTAGCCCCCTCCCGCAAGAAAATGGTGAAAAACGCTTTTGCGCACGGGATAGCCGACA